GCTTTGGCCCTGGCCACGGGTCACTTGGGAATCGCGCCATATTTCGAGCGTTTTTTGTTCTTAGCCCTCCTCCTGCTAATCTCTTTTGTGCTCCATCCTTCTCCCTCCCCCTTCCATCCGTCCTTCCTTTCCCTCATTTATGGGCTGCTTTCAGTGCGCGTGGCAGGTCCGGGAGGTATACCCCAAAGGGGGTACGATCGAAAACGAAAAGGGTTGGTACCGAAGGGTTCGGCATATACGTGTTGGATGGCACGCGGGCATATAGGAGCGAACAGTCCTAGACTGATCGTTGAGCTCTCGCTTCTGAAGAATAATTATTCTTGAGCCTCCCCCCACCGGAGCACATTATATTCTATTAAATTTCTCGATTGAAGTTCCCCCTCTCGGGGCTCGCACGCTTTTTTATCCGGCAAGGTCATTCTGCTCAATCTGTGCCCCTGGCCACCCCCAGCTACAGCAACAACGGCTCTCGTTTGACACTTCCTCACAATATGCTCCGAAATCGCGCTCTAGCGCGGGCCTGCCCCGCAATTTGTGAAGGAGTCGCGCTCTCGCGTGGGACATCCCCGCAATCTATTCACACGTCGCGCCTTCGACAGTCACGAATCACGCTTTCGCTTTGGCCTTTCTCACTATTTACTTGGGCATCGCGCTATCGCTCGAGATTTCCTTTCGATTTATGCAGAACTCACGCTTCAGCAACCCGCCTGCTCGACCTGGCCGCTTGGGCCCGCCCTTCAGACCCTCACGCCAGGGTCTGCCCGCCCGATTTTCCCGTCTGGTTCTGAAACGTGTTTTCTGCTCGTAGCACCCTCCTGCTAATATCTCTCGTGTTCCATCCTTTTCCCTCCCCTTCCATCCGTCTACCCTTCCCTTGTTTTAGGGGCTGCATTAGATGCGCGTGGCAGGTAAGGAAAAAGTACCCCCTAAAGTGGATACGATCGACGACGAAAACGGCGGGTACCGAGGGTTCGGGACATACATGTTGAATGGCACACGAGCGGATTGGAGCGAACAGTTCTCTAAATGATTGCTGTTGTTGCTGTGGTTGTGGTTGTGGTTGTGGTTGTTGTTGTGGTTGTGTTGTTGTTGTTGTTGTTGTTGTTGTTGTTGTTGTTGTTAGTAGTAGTAGTAGTAGTAGTAGCGGTAGTGGCAGCAGTAGCAGTAGTAGTAGTAGTAGTAGTAGTAGTAGTAGTAGTAGTGGTAATAATCGTCGTCGTCGTAGTAGTAGGAGTAGTAGTAATAGTAGTAGTCGTAGTAGTAGTAGTAGTAGTAGTAGTAGTAGTAGTAGTAGTAGTCGAGTTTTAACAGCTGAAGAAAATTTCATGTTGCTACCCCCTCCGGTGCACATAGTATTTTTCAATTGACGTGCCTGTTCCCGCACCCGGCTTTCAATTAGGGAGAGCTCTGAGCCTCAGATTGGCCCTTTGGCTCCCGAGCTACAACAACAACGGCTCCTATTCAATATTCCCTCACAATTTAATGTTCCCCCCCGCTCCCGCTTGACAGTCGAATTAGTAGCAGCAGTAGTGGTAGTAGTGGTAGTAGTAGTAGTAGTAGTAGTAGTAGTAGTAGTAGTAGTAGTAGTAGGAATAGTAGTAGCAGTAGTAGTAGTAGTAGTAGTAGTAGTAGTAGTAGTAGTGGTAGTGGTAGTAGTAGTAGTAGTAGTAGTAGTAGTAGTAGTAGTAGTAGTAGTAGTAGTAGTAGTAGTAGTAGTACTAGTAGTGGTCGTGGTAGTCGTAGTTGTAGTAGTAGTAGTAGTAGTAGTAGTATGGTGGTCGTCGTAGTAGTAGTAGTAGTAGTAGTAGTAGTAGCGGAATAGTAGTAGCAGTAGTAGTAGAGGAGTAGTAGTCGTAGTAGTAGTAGTAGTAGTAGTAGTGTAGTAGTGGTTAGTGGTAGTGGTTAGTTGGTAGTTATTAGTAGTAGTAGTAGTAATAAGTAGTAGTAGTAGTGGTAGTAGTAGTAGTAGTAGTAGTAGTAGTAGTAGTAGTAGTCGTAGTAGTAGTAATAGTAGTAGTAGTAGTAGCAGTAGTAATAGTAGTCGTAGTAGTAGTAGTAGTAGTAGTAGTAGTAGTACTAGTAGAAGTAGTAGTAGTAGTAGTAGTAGTAGTAGTAATAAGTAGTAGTAGTAGTAGTAGTAGTAGTAGTCGTAGTAGTAGTAGTAGTAGTAGTAGTAGTAGTAGTAGTAGGAGTAGGAGTAGTAGTAGGAGTAGTAGTAGTAATAGTTGTAGTAGTAGCAGTAGTAGTAGTAGTAGTAGTAGTAGTAGTAGTAGTACGAGTAGTAGTAAGAGTAGTAGTAGTAGGAGTAGTGATAGTAATAGTAGTCGTAGTAGTAGTACTAGTATTCGTAGTATTCGCATTCGCATTCGCATTCGTATTCGTATTCGTATCCGTATTCGTATTCGTATTCGTATTCGTATTCGTATTCGTATTCATATTTGTATTCGTATTCGTATTCGTATTCGTATTCGTATTCGTATTCGTATTCGTATTCGTATTCGTATTCGTATTCGTATTCGTATTCGTATTCGTATTCGTATTCGTATTCGCATTCGCATTCGTATTCGTATTCGTATTCGTATTCGTATTCGTATTCGTATTCGTAGTAGTAGTAGTAGTACTAGTAGTAGAGTAGTACTATACTCAGTACTAGTGGTAGTAGTAGTAGCAGTAGTAGCGTAGTAGTAGTAGTAGTTGTATAGTAGTCGAAGTAGTAGTAACAGTAGTAGTAGTAGTACTAGTTAGTGTAGTAGTAGTAGTAGCGTAGTAGTAGCAGTAGTAGTAGTAGTAGTAGTAGTAGTAGTAGTAGTAGTAGTAGTAGGTAGTAGTTAGTAGTAGTAGTAGTAGTAGTAGTAGTATAGTAGTAGTAGTAGTAGTAGTAGTAGTAGTAGTAGTAGTAGTAGTAGTAGTAAGTAGTAGTAGTAGTAGTAGTAGTAGTAGTAGTAGTAGTAGTAGTAGTAGTAGTAGTAGTAGTCGTAGTCGTAGTCGTAGTAGTCGTAGTCGTAGTAGTCGTAGTAGTAGTAGTAGTAGTAGTAGTAGTAGTAGTAGTAGTAGTAGTAGTAGTAGTAGTAGTAGTCGTAGTTACAGTCGTAGTAATAGTAATAATGATAGTAGTCGGATTCGCCTTCGTCCTCCTCGTCGTTCTAGTCGTGCAGAAACCCTCAGCGATAGTATCAGCATTCAGCGCTGCTGTACTAGTTTCAGTGGGGGTACTTGTCGTAGTCGTATTACCTAGTGGTAGTGGTAGTATCCAGTCGCAGTAGTCGGATAATCGCCCTGCTTGTACCTATACGTTGATGCATCGGGTGGGTATATCGATAGTTCGGCATATATTCTGGCAGGTCGGCATGCGTATCGTTCGTATGATGGTTCTCACCCATGGTTGTTATTCCCAACCATCCTGCAGTGTTGGGTCGGGTTGTGAGGAAACAGCGCCCCGCGTCATTCCTCACCCTCATCCCCTCCTCATCCGTGCCCATGCATTCCGCATGTCGATGTCAGCACACCCTCACATGCTTCGTGGCCTTGCAGGGAGCTCCACCGAAGGCCCTGGCGGCAGCGCCCGCATGGCGCCGCCGCCTCAATTTCAGCACACCCATCACGCGTTTCGCAGCCCCAGAGGGAGCTCCGCCGAAGGCCCTAGAAACAGCGCCCGCATGGCGCTGCCGCCCCATCTTGGCAAACCCCCATCACGCGTGTCATAGCCCCATAGGGAGCTCCAACGACCGACCACGCGGCAGCGCCCGCATTGGAGGCGCCGCCTCCATGTCAGCACACCCCTCACACGCTTCGTTGTTCCCTAGGAAGCTTCAACGACGGCCCCGTTGGCAGCGCCTGCATGGCGGCGCCGCCACATATGGCACACCCCTCTCATGGTTCGTAGTTCCGTACAGAGCTTCACCGACCGACCACGCGGCAGCCCCCGCATGGATGCGCCGCCACAGTTTCGGCGCAACCCCCGCACGTTTCGTGGCCCGGTCAAAAACTCCACCAACCGACCACGCGCCAGCGCCCGCGTGGCGGTGCCGCTCCATTTTGGCAAACCGCTCAAACGTTTCGTGGCCTTGTGTGGAGCTCTATCGAAGGCCCCAGCGGCAGCGCTCGCATGGCGCCGCCGCTTTAATGTCGGCACTCATTTCATGCGTTTCGCAGCCCCGTTAGGAGGTCACCCGAAGACCCAGATGGCAGCAACCGCCAAGCGGCGTCCCGCCCATTTCGGTCACCCCTCACACGTTTCGTGGTCATCCCACCTGCCCCAGGGCATTCACACCAGTTTGTGGTTGGGTCGGTCGCCGAGAGTAGGATTCAGCGCAGCAGTAGGAGTAAATGTAGACAGGAGGAGGACGAAGACGAGGAAGACGAGGCAGGATGAGTAGGATTAGTCGGGGGGGAGGAGTTGTTCTTTCGTCCCTTTCTCTCCCTCCTTCCCTCCTCCTGGCGTTTCCTCCCTCCCCTGGCACTTGTCATCTTCACTGGCTCCCGTCCTTTTCCACGGCTCCCCTTTGCTCCCCTGGATCTCCGGATCCCCCCGGCCTGCCATGCCTCTTTTTAAGGGGAACGGAGATTTGTCGGGGGAAGGCGTCGGGGGAATGCTACGGGGAGCTCCTCTTCCTCCCCCTCCTCTCCCTCCTCGTCCTTTTGGTCCTTCCCCTCCATTTCCCCCTGCTCTTTCTCCAGTATTTCGGGGGTGGGTGTCTGCCAGGAGGACACCGTGCAATCAAACGGCACCCTTGTCCACCCCCGTACCGCACAGCTGTCTGCCCTGCACTCTTTCTCGCTGATGCAGCCGAGCCGCGTTGCTTTTGCGCTCCTTCTCGACTTGCCATTTCCAGTCTTGCCTGGGTCACCACTGTGCTCGTGGCACTTTTCATTGCGTTTACTGTTTGTATGTATGTCATAGTCGCCGCGCCGTTCGATGTGCAGGACGCACGTGCCATGAGCAGCGACTTGAAAGGCGTGCTCGGGCAGCTGCTACGGCGAGGGCAGGGAGGAAGAGGGGAGGGTACCCAAGTCGGCCAACGATCCTTCCGAGTCGCTGGTGATTTCTCATGGGTGGGAGTGGCAGGGATGTTCAAACATCAAAGGAGTACACCAGAGCTGCGCGCAAAGCCACGCGATCATTTTGGCCAGAGCGCTTGGGCCTTTGTGACCGGCTCAGATTCTATGGGTGACTTTTTCACGCCTCCACCCCCTCTTCTTCGTCCATCCATCGGCGCCCCCGTCAGAGGAGGCGTGTCGCATCCCCCCTTCTCTTCCATGTTCTCCACCTTTACTTCCTCATCCTTGTGCTCCTTCTGCCTCCTCTCTCCTTCCTCTCCCGCTCCTCCATTCCTCCACTCTCCCCCTCGTCTTTTTGATGGCATGCGTTCTCCCCCGCACATATGCACACTAAGGACTCTGATGGCTGTGCTTCTCACAATTTCGCTCTCCGTACGATGTCCGACTGCGCCACGCTCCCGGTCGGATGAGGGATGGAGGGAGGGAACGAGGGACGATGATACTGCTGGTGATGATGATGATGATGATGATGATGATGATGATGATGATGACGATGATGATGATGATGATCATGATGATGATGATGATGATGATGATGATGATGATGATGATGATGATGATGATGATGATGATGATGCTGATGATGATGATGCTGATGATGATGATGATGATGAGGATGAGGATGAGGATGAGGATGAGGATGAGGATGAGGATGAGGATGAGGATGGTGATGAGGATGTTGATGATGCTGCTGCTAATGCTGCTGCTGCTGATGATGATGCTGATGCTGATGCTGATGCTGCTGCTGATGATGAGGAGGAGGATGAGGAGGATGAGGAGGAGGAGGATGAGGAAGAAGGATGAGGGTGATCAGAAATAATGGGAGGAAGTGCAGGGAGGGGAGTTGGCAGGAAAGATGATGAGAAGGACTAAGTTGAGTAGGAATAGGATGAGCTACAGCAGGAGGAGGATGAGGAGGAGGAGGAGGGAGAGAAGCGGGAAGAGGACGACCACCTTCTCGATGGTTTCAACACGTGTGAATTGGTGCGAATCGGTGCTCTCCCCGTGTGGTCTTCAGTAGGGCTGAGCACGACACGGCCTGCCCACGTAGACCCCCCGCTCTGTCTCGGTCATAGGTTCCAATCGCCCGAATCTCACCACAGCCAGCTAACCAACGCGCCCAATAGGGGTACCGTGCACCAGCGATGATTGGCTCAAGCACGGGGCCGCGTCAACAGGGAGCTGGCGATTCGCCTGAGGGCGGAGCTGGACACTCCGAGTCCCTTCCGAGGGGCGGGGGCCGCCAGCTTCGGACCCAGCAGCTGGCTTCGGACCTGGCCGGCTTCGGACCCGGCGTGCCTTGGACCCGCTGGCTTCGGACACGCTCCCCTCGGACCTGGTCGGCCTCGAACACGGACAGCAGCCGGCTTGGGGGTCCCGCTCGAGCGGCTACGTTGGGTCCTCTGCGGCCGACTGGGAGCCCTTTCGAGGCGCTTCAGGGCCGTCTTGGATGCCAGCTTGGGCGTCTCGCAGGTCTCCTTGGCCGTCCGGGGCTTTTTTTCTGGATGTCCTCCTGGAGGCCTCTTGTGCCCTCGTAGAGGCCTCTTGAGCCGTCTTGGCCGGAGTGGAGGCCATGATCAGCCATGTCGGGGGTATTTCGGCCCGTCTTGGAGACATTTTGGGGCCATCTTGGTCTCTCTTGGGGCCGTCGTAGGCGTCTGAGAGACCATCTTGGCCGTCTTGGAGGCCATCTGGGAGCCGCCTGGAGCGGGATAACCGTGGACTTGGGAAGAATACGGTTCCTCATTGGGCGGAAAGTCCGATGAATTCTCAATCATCCTGTGGTGTTGGGTCCTCGTTTTGAAGAGACGGTCCCTTTGTCCCTCCTATCTCCTTCCTCCCTCCTCCCCCTCCTCCCTCCTCCCCCTCTCTGCGTTTCACCCACTCAGTAAAGCGCTTTCCCATAGGGAGCTCCACCAAAGGCCCCAGTGGCGGGGTTCGCATGGCGGCCCCGCGTTTTGGCGCACCCCTCAGGGTTCGTAGCCCCATAGGGGGCTCCACCGAAGGCCCCAGTGGCAGGGTTCGCATGGCGGCCCCGCCCCATTTTGGCGCGCCCCTCACACGGTTCGTGGCCCCATGGGGAGCTTCACCGAAAGTCCAGTGGCAGGGTTCGCACGGCGGCCCCGCATTTTGGCGCGCCCCTCACACGGTTCGTGGCCCCATAGGGAGCTCCACCGAAGGCCCCAGTAGCAGGGTTCGCATGGCGGCCCCGCCCCATTTTGGCGCGCCCCTCACGGTTCGTGGCCCCATCGGGAGCTCCACCGAAGGCCCCAGTGGCAGGGTTCGCATGGCGGTCCCGCCCCATTTTGGCGCATCCCTCACACGGTTCGTGGCCCAATAGGGAGCTCCACCGAAGGCCCCAGTGGCAGGGTTCGCATGGCGGCCCCGCCCCATTTTGGCGAACCCCTCACACGGTTCGTGGCCCCAGAGGGGGCTCCACCGACGGCCCCAGTGGCAGGGTTCGCATGGCGGCCCCGCCCCATTTTGGCGCATTCTTCACACGGTTCGTGGCCCAATAGGGAGCTCCACCGAAGGCCCCAGTGGCAGGGTTCGCATGGCGGCCCCGCCCCATTTTGGCGAACCCCTCACACAGTTCGTGGCCCCAGAGGGGCTCCACCGAAGCAGGCGGAAGAGGCCGGTCACCCCGCGGATGCTGCTGTGGCTCAAGCAGCACATCCATGCAGATGCGGGGTTGTCCCAGGCCGACGCCGCCACGCTGTTTGCCGCGGTGCTCCTCGCCTTCTTCTTCCTGTTGAGGGCGCCGGAGAACCTGGTGGTGGCGGGGAGATCGTGGTCCGTCGACAGGGTGGTCCACGGAGAGGACCTCGAGGCGAGGCTCGAGGGGGAGCGCGTCGGCCAGTTCGCCCAGGCCGACGAGTGCGTGCTGCACATCAAGGGCTCGAAGACGGACCAGTGCAATGTGGGGGCGGTGCGCAACCAGTACGCCACCCACTCAGCGCTGTGCCCCGTCGAGGCCCTGGCGGCCATGCAGGCCCAGCACCCGCAGCGCTTCGACCACGGCGCGGAGGCGCGGCTGCCCCTGTTCCGGTGGGCCTCGGGCGCGCCCGTGAAGCGCGAGGAGGTGCAGCACTTCCTCGCGCTGGCGGGCCTGGCGGCAGGCCTCAAGCGTGAGGAGATCGGCTCCCTCTCCCTGAGGATCGGCGGTGCCGCGGCGATGTACCACGTCGCGGACGACCTCGCCAAGGTCCAGAGGTGCGGGAGATGGGCGTCGGATTCTTTCCACGCCTACCTCTGGGAGTCGCGCGAGCCGCAGCGTGACGTAGCCGGGCGCATGGCCAGCGACCGCTCGGAGCTGACGACGCCAGCGGCGAAACCCCAGGTGGGAGCCGCCGGCGCTAGCGCCAGGCGTGCCCCCCCCAGGGGCTTGTCAGCCCTCGGGGCCGCAGCGGCGGCCGCGACCGCACCGGGTCAGGCTACGGCGGCCAGCCAAGAGCTGGCAATGGTGGAGGAGGACAAGAAGCACGTGAGCGTGCGCCTGGCGGCGGACGGGGAGGATATCACCATCGCGATCCCCCTGGAGATCATGGTGAAGGTCATCATCTCGCTGGTGGTGGTGCTGGCTACGACGTTGGCGATGGCCTGGCGCTGCTGGTGCAGGCCGAGGCGGGACCGCCGGCCCCAGGGCTCGAGCGGGGCGCCGAAGGAGACGACGGAGGACGACAAGAGGATGGCCAAGAAGCCCAAGAAGTTCTACTGCGACGCGGGGATCCAGGGACCGGTGCACTACAGCGGCACCCGCTACCTCCACAAGGACCAAGGCTTCCAGCGCGGGGACGAGGTCACGCGCGAGGTGGCCGCCAAGCCGCACCGCGGCTGAGCAGTGGCGCCGCCGGCCAGAGGCCTGGCGAGCGAGTGAGATGGGGAGGGGCCGCGAGACGGCTGAGTTGTGGCGCCGCCGGCCGATGGCCTGGCGAGCGGTGAAGGGATGGAGTGCTCCGCCGCCGGCCACGGCCTGGCGTGCGGAACCACGCCGGCGCATGACGCCGGGCGTAGCGTTTCGAGCGCCCGCGGGCAGGTGGGCGCCTGCGGCGGGCTGCGGGGCGCTGTCGGCGGCGACTGGGCGCCCGTGGGGCAGCCAGGCCGCCTGGGGCCCCTGAGCGGCCGAGCGCCCGCGGGCAGCGGTGCGCGTGCGGCCTGCGGTGCATGGGGGCGGCGGCGGCCGGGCGCCCGGGCGGCTGGAGCCGCGCTGGCGCTCCCCGCGCGGCCAGGCCCGTGGGTTTCCCCACGGCCAGCCTGGCGCTGAATTCGCAACTGCAGTGCCGTCATGAGGGGGCGGCGGTGCGGGCTTGGGCGCAGCCGGCGGCAGGCGCAGCGCGCGCCGCCTGGCCGCGCCCCGCGCCGGCGCTGCGTAGGCACCGGCGCACGAAGCACCCCGGGTGTGCCGGCGGCCGCAGGCTGCCCGCGCCCCCGGACCACAGTGGAGGGTGCGCCGGCAGCGACCGCTGCCAGGCGCGCCCGAGAGATGGCGGCAGAGCCCGCTGACGCGTGGCGGAAGGCGTGGAGCGGAGCGTGCGCACACGCAGCGCCATGACATCATCGTCATCTGAGTCATCATCTTTTCCTCCTCGACCTCCCTCGGCATCGGGTCGAGGTGCCGTCTCGGTAGTGCGTTACTGGTGTCAGGGATAGCTTAGTTGTTTGGTCAAACGCTAGGCTCCCTGGCCCCAGGAATGCGGGGGCCCGTCCTCTCCTGTCCTTGCCCCTGCCTCTGCTTGCCCTCCCCTGCTTCCCCCTCTGGGGCTCTAGCTTTTCTGGGCCAAGCTGGCCCGCCCAGGAGGCCCTGTTGGCCTCTCCCACCCGTTGGCCTTCGAAAGGCTCTCTGCCCGCTGTCGAGGGGCCGCGGGCGGCAGAGCCCGCTGACGCGTGGCGGAAGGCGTGGAGCGGAGCGTGCGCACACGCAGCGCCAAGACTTCATCGTCATCTGAGTCATCATCTTTTCGTCCTCGACCTCCCTCGGCAGTGGGTCGACGTGTCTTTTCGGTAGTGCGTTACTGCTGTCAGGGATAGCCTATCGACATTCATATAAAATTACACCATGCTCTGTCATACTCGCATTCATGCACGTAGACTCGCTCGCACGCAGATTCATTCACAGTCAGACGCACTCGCGCTCAGATTCGTCCGCGCTCCGTCTTCCTACGTACTCAGATCAATCGTTTTCGTTCGCGTTGTGTACCACGCCACTCATTTCGGATCACCACCGAAAAAAGTGAATCATAATTGCGGTACTCACACCTGCATATGGTTGGGTCTTTCGGCAGGCTAATTTTTGAAAAGCGGGCGGTCCAAACGGGGACGCCCGGACAGCGGGTGGTCCAAACAGGGAAACGCAGGGCTTTGGCGAGCGGCCAGTCCGATCGGGGAAACCACTGCTTCTGTGCACTCTTCCAGTGATGCGTGGATCCACTCCTTCACGCTCTTTCCGGTGGGGCCAAAAAGAAAGGTGCCTCAAGACGGCTGATGGGCATTTCAAACCGGAAAACGCGACGTTCGGACAGCCGGCGGTCCAAACGGGGAGAACGTACTGTTCTTGGAAGGCGGCGGTCCAAGCGTGGAAAACGTCACGAGCTGTCAGCGGGCGGTCCGTGCCCTCGAGACTGCCGAAAATGGCGGCTTTGCTAGGGACATCCTTGTGCAAATGAGCAAGTTCCGAAGTCGCACGTTTTAAACATGATGTTTCTAACATCGTCTTGACATCTTTTTCGGGCATCCTCGGAACGGTTCAAGAGGGGTCGAAAACCGCTCGAGAGTCTTTCACCACGGCCCAAGAGAGCCCAAATACTCTCCGAGGGTGCGACAAGGGCGAGGCGAAAATATGTTGCATGATGATGAACAACGGACAAGTCAGCGATTTCGCGTTATCACAAACAAAGTTGCACTTCCATTCCCGTGCAAAGCAGGTCTGGTGGCCTTGGCCCACGGGGGCCTCTTGCCATCTCTTTGGAAGACTCTTGGAGCGTTTTGGGTGCATCCGGGGCGCCCTTTGGGGCCTCTTTGGGGCCGCTTGGGGGCCTCTTGGGGCCTCTTCCGTGCCCCTGGGGGCCTCTTGGGGCCCTCTTGGGACTCGCTTGGCAGCTTTTCGGGCCGTCTTTGGGCCATCTAGGAGGCATTCGACAAACAAAAAGGGGTCCTTAATTTGCACTGGCCCCCCACCCCCTCCAGGAGGCCAGGTTGGGTCCCAAACCTAAGGAACATCAGTGATTCTTGCGTTCTCGCTGAGGCTTTCTTGGGCGTTCTGACACCTCGCGACTCCCCCCCGTTTATGGGGAGGGGTAGACCTCTTCCTGAAGGGAAAGAGGGGGGTTGGAAGAGGACGCGCTCTAAACCACTCACTCCCTGAATGGCTGGTGGGATTATAGATTGTGGGAAGGATTATTCCGTCTGGCCTCATTAGAAGGTCGTCCCTGCAGCATCAAGGATGCCTTCGTGTCCTTCCATCGCGTGTCGTGCTTTCTAAGTGTCTGTAGCACAGGTTGCTCTTGGAAGGTACTCGGGCCCTCCTCTGATGTCCTCTGCAATCAGTTTTGGCTGTCCCTCTTAGATGAGACAGGCATGGCGTTGCCACGTGGAAGTCAGCAGCCTTCTCAGCGTGGACGCTCTGGTGGCAGATCGACGATCGAAGGCTTTGTGATTTTTAGTGGGCGTGTGAATCTTGCTCGCCAGGCCAGGGGCCTGCAGCGGCTTCACGCTGCAAATCACAGTACTTGCTGTGATGCTGCTTCCGTTCCCCCTCCCTCCGCGCGGCCGCCCTCGTCCTTGTCCCTCTCCCTGCACGCCGGCCAACTAGCCATTCGGTTGTCCCGCATTGCCACACGCTGGAGCGGACCGCCCCCGCCTCTCCGCCGACGGAAAATGTGCTACTGCTCCCGTGGCCAAGCCGGGAGTGATGCAAGCTAGAACTCCCTGCTCAAGTGGGGTTCGATCTTTTGTTCAGGGTGGCACGCGACAGCGCCTCAGCTGGCGATCGCTTGGCTTCGTCGCGTGTGCAGCATCCTGGAGCATGCATCAAGGGTTGATTTTTGAGCGGACGTCTTTTGTACACGTATCCTTGGTAGTGCCACTGTCTGCCGAAAAAGAGCGGGCCCGCCAGGTCTGGAAGGGACGCCACGAACGTCCTATGAGTGCCCCAATGTACCTCCAAGACAGACAGCCAACCAACAAAGACTGCAATGCTTCTGGCATCACCCAAACATTCTATGCTATGTGTGCGTCTGCACCCCAGGGGCGACGCGCACGCTGAGAAATCTTCTGGTAAATGCTGGGTGGTGAGTGCTTTCTGGCAATTCCGCTCGGGGAACGACGTTCTTATTACATGTTTGGGTCAGACGTGCGCCTCCAACCGAGGCACACAGCACTAGTACGTCCTTATGCCTCCCATGTTTCGTTGCTCGTGCGTGGCAGTCCTGGGGGGCTCGGACGTCTTTGGGCGGGCCTTCGGGTCGCCCAGGACAGCGCCGTTGAGTTCTGGGAACGTGCCTCCCCCAGGGCGTCGGGACAAGTTTTGGCGGTCTGGGGGCTGTCTGGGTCAACAACTCGGGGCTTACCGGGGCATGATGCTGGTGGTGGTTGTGGTAGCGGTGATGAGGTTGACGGGGAGGAGGTGGAGGAGGAGGAGGAGAAAAAGGGAGGGAGAGAGGCGGATGAGGAGGAGGGTGTGGGGGGAAGGGTTGAAGAGGAGGGGGAGAACAGAATGGAGGAAGAGGTGGAGAGCGAGGAGGAGAGGGAGGAGGGGGAGGAAGGAATGGAGGAGGAGGGGATTATGGAGGAGGATTAAGAGGAGGGGAAGGCGAAGGGAATGTAGCAGAGGTGTCGGTCGAGGAGGAGGGTAACCAGCTCCGTCCCGTCCTGGAAACAGAGGCACGCCTGGCGACGGGGCGCCTGGGGATCCACCGCACAAGAAGCGGCGCACAGACGAGGACGAGGCCTGCCCTGCCCGCGGCCAGGGCGGAAAGAGGAGGAGGAGGAGAAGGAGAAGGAGGAGGAGGCGGAGGAGGAGGAGGAGACGATTCGGGTCCCCGAGACCCAACAGCTTGCCTAAGGAAGAAATGAGGAGGTAGCACAGGCTGCAGGTCCTAGTGTATGTGTGTGTATCTCTCTCTATATATATTTACCCTGCCTATTCTCCCCATCCTCGTCGGCTCTTTTTGCAGAGGCTCCTCCTTGGAGAGCCTCTGGGGGCCTCACAAAAGTTCCCAACCCTCCTTGTGTTGGGTACTCGTTTTGAATAGAGCACTGTGGTATCCACCTTCCGCCCTCTCCTCCTTCTTCTCTCCTGTGTTCGCGGTGCCCTGCGGGGCTGCGATCTGCGCAACTGTCGCCACTTCGTGGGCTCCTGGAAGGCCCAGCGGAAGTACGTCCTACGCAGATCATTTTGAGGCCTCCCTGTCCCCTGCGGGGCGGCGATCTGCGCAACTGTCGCCACTTTCGTGGGTTCCTGGGAGGCCCAGCGGAGGTACGTCCTACGCAGATCACTTTGAGGCCTCCCTGTCCCCTGCGGGGCTGCGATCTGCGCAACTGTCGCCACTTTCGTGGGTTCCTGGGAGGCCCAGCGGAGGTACGTCCTACGCAGATCACTTTGAGGCCTCCCTGTCCCCTGCGGGGCTGCGATCTGCGCAACTGTCGCCACTTTCGTGGGTTCCTGGGAGGCCCAGCGGAGGTACGTCCTACGCAGATCACTTTGAGGCCTCCCTGTCCCCTGCGGGGCTGCGATCTGCGCAACTGTCGCCACTTTCGTGGGTTCCTGGGAGGCCCAGCGGAGGTACGTCCTACGCAGATCACTTTGAGGCCTCCCTGTCCCCTGCGGGGCTGCGATCTGCGCAACTGTCGCCACTTTCGTGGGTTCCTGGGAGGCCCAGCGGAGGTACGTCCTACGCAGATCACTTTGAGGCCTCCCTGTCCCCTGCGGGGCTGCGATCTGCGCAACTGTCGCCACTTTCGTGGGTTCCTGGGAGGCCCAGCGGAGGTACGTCCTACGCAGATCACTTTGAGTCCCCTGCCTCCCTGTCCCCTGCGGGGCTGCGATCTGCGCAACTGTCGCCACTTTCGTGGGTTCCTGGGACGCCCGGCGGAGGTACGTCTCACGCAGACCACTTTAAGGCCTCCCTCTACCCTTGGCGCACCTCGCGCGCACCTGGCGCGCACCTGGCGCGCACCTGGCGCGCACCTGGCGCGCTGGGCGCACCTGACGCGCTGGGCGCACCTGGCGCGCACCTGGCGCACCTGTCGCACCTGGTGCACCTGTCGCACCTGTCGCACCTGGCGCACCTGGCGCACCTGGCGCACCTGGCGCACCTGGCGCGCACTTGGCGCGCACCTGGCACGCACCTGGCGCGCTGGGCGCACCTGACGCGCTGCGCGCACCTGGCGCGCACCTGGCGCACCTGGCGCGCTGGGCGCACCTGCCGCACCTGGCGCACCTGGCGCACTTGGCGCACCTGGCGCACACTTGGCACACCTGGTGCATTTGGCGCACTTGGCGCACCTGGCGCGCTGGGCGCACCTGGCGCGCCTGCCACACCTAGCGCAGACCTGGCGCAGCAGGCGCACCTGCCGCACCTGGCGCATCTGGCGCACCTGGCGCACCTGTCGCACCTGGCGCACATGGCGCACCTGGCTCACTTGGCGCGCCTGGCGCAACTGGCGCACCTGGCACACGTGGCGCAACTGGCGCACCTGGCGCACCTGGCGCGCACCTGGCGCACACGTGGCGCACACCTGGCGCAACTGGCGCACCTGGCGCGCGCCTGGCGCGCATCTGGCGCGCACCTGGCGCGCACCTGGCGCGCACATGGCGCGCTGGGCGCACATGGCGCACCCGGCGCGCTGGGGGCACCTGGCGCGCACCTGGTGCACCTGGCGCGCTGGGCGCACCTGACGCCCCTGGCGCGCATGGCGCAACTGGCGCGCCTGGCGCAACTGGCG